GAAAAAGTGCAACGTGATGAGAACATCGAAGCATCATTGACACCACGACTTACCAATGTCAACAAGTTGACATACGATGAAATCATAGGCAATATATTTCTATTTCTAGTTGCCGGTACAGAGACAACATCAACCACGCTTGCTTTTTGCACATATGTGTTGGCTACACATCCTGATGTACAGCAAAAATTACAAGATGAAATTGATGCAAATGTTGGCGATAGTGCTCAGTTACCGACATACGAAATAGTCAACAATTTGGAATATTTAGATATGTTCATCAAAGAAGTCAATCGAATGTTTCCGATAGTACCGCTCGTCATTAATAGGCTCTGCATTCGAGACACCACAATCGGTCAATATACAATAAAAGAGGGTAAGAAGTTTTAGCCATATAGAAGCTAGAGTTCTAGACACAGTAAGTTACCTAAGCAAATCGTTGTTTTATCAAAACTTTTGCAGGGACAATCGTGCAAGCCGATGTCTACAGCATCCACTATGATGCTGATCTCTGGGGTCCTGTTGATCCATATAAGTTTCATCCTGAACGGCATGCGGTCAAACGACATCCACTAGCTTACTTACCTTTCGGTGCTGGACCACGCAATTGTGTCGGTATGCGGTTTGCTCTGCTAGAATTAAAGATGGCCTGTGTCCAACTTCTAAAAAAATTTACAGTTTTGAAAAGTGACAAGCTCGAAAACACTTTTCGCATCGTCGAACTGACAACGATCTTACCAGAAAGTGTATGGATCAAGCTTAAACATCGTACAAAACCTAATTGATTCGTAAAAATAAGCTCAAACTTAGAACTCTTTAATTTATGCTTAATATGTGAGAGAGAATAAAAGTATTTTGGAACTGACAAACAGATCGTGAGCACGGCTCGTTTTATGGTTCGAGAGCGATCAGTATATATCAGAAAAGGACGTGCATGAGCAAATAGTGCACGCTTGGTGACATCGCCGCCAATTTCCATATTGGATATTGCATCGAGGGATTGTCACATCATGTTGACAAGTATAATTGACGATCACCAATAAGGTTGGTCAAGGAGCAAGGGAACTAAATATTGTAAATGAGAAAATTGTCATTTAAATGTTTCTAACGATAGAATGTACAGTCATCATCAATCTGTTCTGCGTTTGTTTCACACTAGTTCGTCTTGATTCTAGAGAAAAAGTCTTCGTGGTATATCTATATATACAACTAATACCTAATACCCATTCATTACTTTGTACAATATGAGTCAATTTGAAATGAACAAGTGGTTCATCAGATGAATTGTTAAAGAATTTCGTTACTTGAACTTCATCAATAAATATTGGAAATAATTTATTATTTGCTTCTACAATAACATTTGAATCCAAAGACCATTCTTTCAAATCGTTATTAATAACTAATGTTATTGGAATAGGATTGTCACACATTTCAATGATATGATGTTGATCGTTCTCTAATATAGTACGACCAACAACAAATGGCCATAAAGAAAGAGTTCGACTAAGTGCATCTTTAAGTTGATCAATATTTATTTCCGATGGATAAACAAATACATTATTAATACGTCCTAAGATCCATAGATCCATAGCAGCAAGTTCAATACGACGATTATTTCCTGTTGGTGTTGAAGATGATACCATAAAAGATGATGTCATATTTTCATCTAGAAGTTCGATTCGAGATAATTTTCTACTTATATAAACGAGGGAAAAAATGAGACTGTGTAATTGCATAAGAAAATGACGATATTGACGCAATTCATTAGATACTTTCGAAATAGCATATTATTCTTTTATTGCAGTGATGATGTCGTTTTACTTTTGACCTCGAATATCATACTATTAATCGTTTACACTAAAGACAACTGATATTGCAAGATGCCAATGAAATAAATGTGATAAAGAGGACGCAGTCTATCAATGCTAGAAAATGTGATTTTGTTTTTTTTTTCTTAATAATGTTCTCGAATTTGATGATAAGATATATTCAAGATTCGTATATAGAATTTTCCAATAGTTGAGTTCATTAGATAATCTATCCGTATTTCTAGCAGCTATATAAGAAATATTTATTGTGATGTGATGATTATGTATAGCTGCAAAAAATTGATGATAGATATTTCTAATGTTTTTTGTATGATACATCCATAAATTACTAACTAATTGAATAGTTTGCATAGAAATTATACATTTAACGGAAGATCGACTAAAAAAATGTGATTGTATGACTTGATTGTATTCGAAATTTATTAAGTGATATGTGAAGAATTTCATTGGAATCTGAAGTAATATTAATCTTCCGATCATATGAACACAAGTTCTTTTTGTAATACAAAAAAAATACAGTTGTGTACAAACAAAAGTTCTTCAGATGAAATGAAGTTTCCTTGAAAAAAAAGAGGCAAGGCTATTTCAGAAAAAAATATTCTTACATACAAATTAAAATGTTTTATCGTAGAATGGTGTTCTCAATATGTTGAGTATCTAAGTTAACGACATATCATCATTAATAGACACACATTTGACAATTGCGGTCATTTTTAACTACATTCGAACAATTCTCATAATTATTGATTTATATAGTAGCAAGAAGGGCGTAGATGTGTGTGTCTTCTCTTTATCAACACCTTCATAAATATTCTTTTGATGAAGAATTCGTTTTCTTAATCGACCAACTTCTGTTTTATTCATTGGTTTCGAGAAAAGAATATGAATTGTTGCTCTAAAACAATCCAGCAATATGAGGTCATGAGGCAATGCTGTACATGTTAGTATTTCGTTTGATTTTGATGTAACCATAATCACTCAATCAACGTCCAAGGAATTTTTCACTTTTCAATAATCAATTCCACTTTCCGTGCCATAACCAACGAGGACCAATGCATGATTTATATTTTCATGAATTGGACATCCTGAAACATCAAGGATACCCGATGCATAATAGTCGAATTTCATCGATACTTCGCGGAAAATCGTTTCATTTCCTTCTCGTTTGCCAGTTTGATTAGATAGAAGTGTCTGGTGCATCTTTCCTCAAAGAAGTAGTCTTCGGCATCAGTAAAAAGTTTTTGATTTGCGAAAAAAACTACACTTCTTCATGGTCATTTTGTTGAAAAAAAACATACAAAACCTAAAACAAAAAATTTATTACGATCGATAGAGGAAAGTTCGTTTCTATTGGCCGGGAAGAAATCTCTACCGAACTGGGTTAGATATTTGCTGTTACTGGTAACGCCTCTGATAAGATTGATGATGTCTTATTCACTGAAACTATTGTTATTATCGTTACGATTGTTGTTATTGTTACTGTATGAGAAATGGTTGGCATCATTGTTATAGTAACTGATAATTTAAGCTTGAAAACAGTAGTTACCAGAATAGTTTCCGGAACTATCGCAGCCATAACTACAATGATCAATGAAATCATAATTATTAAAATAATACGATCTTATTGGAAATACTGAAGAATTTCATTGAATAATTGCACTTATTCGTTTGCAACTGGTTTTGTCGTCTAGTGAGCAAAATATACGACAACTAGTGATAAATAAAATCAATTTTTTAAGTGACCGTTCACCATCCCATCAAATATGATCATTGTCTCAAAAATGTTGACTTCTATATTTTTTGATTGTAAACAAAAAAATATGATACAGTTTCGTTTAGCAGTAAATTCACTAGCGAATGGTATATAAATTAATTTTAACATTGGGTAAATATGCTTTCAAAAACAAGCAACTCTACTCTCGTACGATTATCCCTAAAGTTCACCAGGAAACATAAAGGATGTTCCATAATAACTGAGTCAATCAAAAAATCACAAATTATTCAGAAAATTTTCTTTTGTATCAAACTTTGTAGAACTTTTTTCGGCGCTAGTACATTTCGTCGCACGACACTTCGTCGCGTTCACTTCGTCGCAATCATTTCGTCGCACGGTCACTTCGTCGCATAACATTTTGTCGCGTTCTGTTCGTCGCAAAAAAAAATTTCTTTCGTTCTGTTCGTCGCAGAAAAAAAAATTCTTTCGTTCTGTCAGTCGCAGAGAAATTTCTTTCGTTGTGCTCGTCACTATCTATTCGTCGCATCACTCTTAATTAATTTTCTTTTCAAAAATGTGAAATTGATCATTTAATTCACCTTTATTTTGTGTATTTTACATAACATAATGATGAACAAATTCAGAACAAAAAAAAGAAAAAGAAAAAGAAAAAAAAGAAAGAAAAAAACAAAAAAAAAACAAAAGAAAAAAAAGAAAGGAAAAAAGTAACCTAAAGAAAACAAAATAATTTTAAGAAAAACATTACCTAAAGATTAATGTTGGCTGCCATATTTGTTAAGAATTGATCCAGTTGAGATGAGTCGAATGCATTGACCAGCCGAGTAATTCGTTCGTCGACTCGTCGATAGCAGGCCTTCTTCATCTTAATATCATGACCTTGGAGAATCTTCCCCATGTCCACTTCGAATTTCGATTGTTCACAACGAATTTTCTCTGCCAATTTCACGATATTTGGATGATTGATTGCGACGCGGTTCGCAAATGCATTGTGCCAGCCTTCCACCGAATTGTTTGAACGAGGTACAGCAGCGACGACACGACCATGCATATTCCATAATTTGTGATCAAATTGAGGCTTCTTTCGACCAGTTTCTAAGAAAGTCGATTATATTTCGTATTTCTTAAGAATGAAGAAAAAAAATTACCTCTTCTTTTTGGTTCACCAATCCATGTTTTTTCAAAATAATCAAGTAAATCATCGGCGTCATCGTCAAATTGATTGGCAATTAAGTCAAAGCCAGTTGTAATTTCATCTACTGGAACAAAGGCAAGAGCAATCAATTTTTTTACATTTAAACGAAAGTATTCATCTTCTCTATATTTTGTTACCAATCCTTTTCCTTGAACTTGCCGCTATATCGCTTGCGAAAAATGAAAGAAACATCCTATAACAAACATTTTGATTACTTGTTTTTTGACAATATTACAAAATACCTTTATGTAAAACGTTTGGCAACATTTCCTCTAACGGATTTGATTGTACCAGTTTCAAAATCAGTCATAATTGATTCAGGTTGAAAATTGTCTTGTACTAATACTTTTTCGAAGAGTGAATTGTAATCTTGAGCACTTTTGCCAATTAATAATCCATAGACGAGAGGGATAATTGCATTAGTCATCATCGCGTGTAACGTGAATAATGGATAATAATCATCAGGACACACCTACGTCAAAGAAAATTAGAAAAAAAAAGATATAAACTTTTAATTGATAGCTTACTTTGAATGTTTCATCAGCGAACCAATGTTTATTTTGCTTCAGAATCGATAAATTTGTTTTTGTTGTAAAGATAATTAAATTTTTGTCTTCGTGCAAGATGAAGTCTTCATCGCGATATGTCTTTCTTAATTTTTCTGGTAAACAACCATCGGCATCGACTGTTTCAACAGTACGCTGTCGTCGAATCAGTAGCATAAGTGCTTCATTTTTTGGAAGTTCACCAGCAGCACTCAACGGATACGTACGCAAAGCAGAATGAATAATGGAGCTGGTTGATTCATCTGTTGTTACGGCACGAGCTTTAATTTCATTTTTTAATTGAATAGCAGGCACACGATCAGGTTGAGGAGCATGACCGTGGGCTGTTGGTTGTGAGAGAAATACGTCCATAGATAAATTGGTATGACATCGAGCTTAATAGATCAATAATTTTTGTTTTAATTGACCGACAGTAAATGTTAACTTACCTTTACAATCTCGATTCTGACAACGAAAGATCAATTTCGTCGATGTTGTATGTTCTACAGTGTAGATGTAACCTTCGTGATGAATCATTGGTTTTCCTTTTACAGAAAGAAGTTTTTCGATTTGAGACATTTTGATTAAAAAGTAGTTCGCAGTGAGAGTTGATATTGAAAAATGAAATGTATTTTTTTTTCTGGCTTCATATTTAAGAATATTATTTTATTATTTATCTTTAGCCTGGATTATGTTAAAATTGATTAACCGATTAACAAATCTAATTATTCATCGTTCACTTTAGACCCGTTGCGATTATATATGAGTGTTCGTTTTGATCCGCTTTCTCAATTAGAGTTATTCTTGTTGGAATTATCATTTGTCTATTTTAATTGTACATATTTCATAAAATTTTTCATTTATTTTATTTCAATTGGTTGTACAAAAAAAATTCATTAATTAAGTGAGATACAACAAGTAGAAAGGAAGAGAAAGAGAGTAATTACTCTGCGACGAACAGAACGAAAGAATTTTTTTTTCTGCGATGAACAGAACGAAAGAATATTTTTCTGCGACGAACAGAACGCGACAAAATGTTATGCGACGAAGTGATCGTGCGACGAAATGATTGCGACGAAGTGAACGCGACGAAGTGAACGGTCACCCTTTTTTCGCTGATCATTATAGTAAAAAAAAAAACTTTTCGAATTTCATTGAGAAATGACGATGTTATAGACAAAATACTAAACACTATAAAATGTAAGTAAAAGTCGATTCGATTGGACATTGTATACGATATTCCTATCAAAAAAAAATCTGACACCTTCTATTTTTACGATAAATATTTTGACTATAACATTATCATTTCTCAATTAACAGCGAAAAAAGCTCTACAAAGTTTGATACGAAAGAAAATTTTCTGAATAATTTGTGAGTTTTTAGTTGACTACCCATGGAACTACCTTGCAATATTTTCCTCGTAAAACAAAATATTGAAAAATTATTTTAGATCTTCATTAGATATACATGTGATAAAAATTTCAGTCCTGTACTTCAAGAAAAAGTATGAAAAATATCATTAACAATTTATTCTCAGTTGTTATGGGACACCTTTTATGATAAGATGCCATATGTTTCTTTTCACTTTGTTTTACTTCGATTTGTTCTTCGGGATTATATAATAATATCTTTCTCATTTGGTAGAATTATTGTATATGATAACAGTTTATTTTTTTTTTCTTAGGTCTTATTCGTTAAAGTCTTCATGGTCGTGGAGTTATCAATGAATCATCTCATGTATTCAATGTTTTAACAAATGCAGAAGATGCCGTAAGATTTAGGTAGGGGCGGTGACGGCCACCGCCATAAAAGAAGGGGGACGGTTTCTCTGTGTTAACTGAAAAATTTTTTTCACAGTTTTATTACATTAAATTTTCTAAATATATATTGCCTAATTTATTAACATTTAAGTATGAACAATAGATTCACATTAATACAGCCATGAAAGTCTATTGATTTAACAAAATTTAACTCTAGATATACATACATTGATATGCCACCGGCTTTGTATTAATTATTTTCACACTTAAATTTAGGCAAATTCAAGTTTACGATGAATTTAAATCTTAAACTTGTTCCGATGCAAATAGAATGAATCATAGTACTAGAAAAACTAAAAATCAAAGTGAAGAATGTATTCAGTATATGTAGCAAAAAGAATAGCAAAAAAATAGGTGTAGCTTGGAACGTTTATCACAAAACTAAGATCTTCCGATAATTAAAAAACTATTAGTATTAGAATTTAAAAATGACATTTTACTTTTTCTTAAGAACAAGTTCCAAGGCGATGCGACTTTATTTCTCATTTTTAACTTTCACACAACAAGAACACAAATGTTGCCGAACGACATTGATAGTGACTTGGCTATTTCAATTTGAATTTCAAGAAATTTTAACTGTTAACATGATCAAACCACGATCGTGCGGCTGTCTCTGCTCTGCGCGTGCAGTGCACATCTCTAGCGCCTACCGTGATTCTCATTTTCAAGTAGTGATCGAAATTCTTCATTTTTTTGTTTCTATTCAATTGTGAGATTACAATATGTTTCAATCTGATTGACGATTTTTTTTTCTTTCGAACAACTCATTAAAAAAAAGGCTTCTTTTTTATTTCAATTTTTTTTCATCTGTGCATTTCGAAATCTCATTATATTTTGCATCCACTCATTTGAAATGCGTTCATAGTGGAAGACAGACAGATCAAAAAGTTTTGTATCATGTCATCAAAAAAACACAAACCACCAAAAGTGATACTCATCACTAGACATCCAATTCAGGTATGTATGCATTGAAAAGTACCAATCTACATGATAATAAGGCTGTATTTTAATAGAAAAGAAAAGTATCTTCACGCGCCAAAACAACGAAACATTCATCTATACAAGTGCAACGGATCAATTCATCGATGCGCCTTTCACGAAGGAATATTTCATCATTGAAAGATCAGAACCAGGCATTAAGTCCATCGAGTAATGGCGAAAGATCCGTTGAAGGAACGAGCCAATTAGACATGACATTGGCATCATTTAAAGATTCATCATTCAACGAAACATTATGGAATGGTCAAAGTTACATATCATTGCCATCATCTCATGTGAAAAAAGTAAGTCAAAAAATAAACTATAAAAATAACGCAAGTCAAATGTCCAAATTTGCTGAAAACAGCAGCATACTTAACAAAGTAAAAGATTTTCAATGAACTTCATACCTGTTTTTGGTCTGAGTTAATGGGTAAGGTGAAAATCATTTGAAAAAATTTCATTTCAGTCTTCAGATTGACTAAAATTTAAAACATAATCTCGCTACTTTTATCGAACATAGCATTGGAGTATGGTTATCTTTACATTAAGTTTTAACAGAAAAGTTCTTGAATGATTTTATAATTAAAATTTTCCATTGAATGAGTCTTCTCACCACCATCGACTTCACAACTTAATGACTAGCTAGATATTTATTTTAACGAAAAGAAAAAGAATTCGAATAAGTGCATCACATTAGATTCTCATTGATTGCAATAAACAATGAAAATTTTTTGGAGTGGTTTCTAGGCATCTTTCTCATCTATGAATAAACATGAAACAATTGATTTCACAACTAAAATGTTCATAAAATAGAGCAACAAAAAAAAAATAAACTTTAAAATTCGGCTAATTAATATGTCATTGAGTTAAAAGCGTCAAAGAATATTTGAAGACTGGAATTCATGCGTTATTTCTTTATATTTCAGTATAATATGTTTCAGTGTTTCACCTGAATATGACAAAAAATATTTTTCAATCAAGATATCGATCGAGTCGCGATTCTAATACTGAGAAAATCCAATTGTTTTCTAACTAAATGTATTGTCCACTATAGGGATGTTTTTTAATGCTGAATCCACTCTCCGAATAGTTCTACAGTTTGTAACTACAAACAGTTCGTACATACACAGTTTTAAAGGCTTTTCTTTATATGCTGTGTTAGTTGAGAAACCTTATGATCACTCTGATTTTATCTCATTATTTTTCTTTCTTACTTGTTCTCATATGTAATGCATCGATTGACGACGGATGTGAATGTGGACAGAAGTTTTTGTCCGTGTTCGCATGGATGAAGAGAAGACCCATACTCACAGTAACATTCTATCTAGTATTCATAACTAAGCGATATTGCATTGTTGACTACAGAAAATTCTCATGATATCCGTACAACTACTGAATAGTTCCCAAATGTTAGAATTTCACAAGTCTGAAAGAATTCTAATGCAGTATTTGAAAAACTGTAGGCAGACTCCCGATGACACTGTTCAATCGGTGATGACATTTTTGCTCCTTGTTCTGGTGTATTTTCTGTTGTTCGATTCTAGGAGTATCAAATATCACGGCAAGATCTCTTATCATCGGTTTCATTTAAAAACAAAGTTGCACCATTAAACAAAGACACCAACAAACGAAGTAGTCCAACTGATAATTTTGTCCAAAACGACTACCAATTTGCTGATTTTGCTCCACAAGGCAATGGTGACAAAGAAAAAAACAGAAATAGATCCGTACGGTAAACTATTTCCTTTATGCTTATATTTAATTTTGACTTTGATGATTAATAATTCAGAAAAAGTAAGAAATTTCATATGACGCGATGCTGTTGTTACATTCTGATGGGTGCTATTTTGGCCTTGATCTTGCTTGTAGCACTTGGAGTGGCTATTGGGCTCATTGGTATGTACCTAAATAAATAATATATGACCAAAAGCGGTCTTACGCTGAAGGGAGATTCTGACAACTTTCGTTCCAAAATATTGCTTCCGAGAAACCACCGAAAATGCAGGATTTCAATTTTTTCACGCAGGAAAAAGCTAGAAAGCTTCATTTTTGCCCAGTCTAGTGCTCATTCTAACCACCAGAGTCTATCGCTTTAACATCAATTAATGAGACATAAATCTTTATTTAAAAATTTCAAAAATTAAGTATATCAATCAATGATCACAAAATTTTATAATTTGAAACACAACCGCTACATGATATTTGTGAAACCCGTTCTATGCTTGTTGTTACATGAATCGATCATGTAATGAGCCAAACCTCGTATTATATTTTCATTTAATGTTCTCTATTGGATGCTTTGAAAATCTTCACTTTTATTTTTAAAATTAAATAGTGAGAGAATTCGAATACAGATCAATTCATGTTTTAGTACCTGTAAATTTGAAGTTTTCTCATGAGAACCAACAGAAAGCCAATTCTATTGACGATAATACAATGGTTTTTGTATTAATAAGACAGCAGTAGCAGATTAATCTATTAAAAGTTTGACAATTATATCAGCTGAATGATTATTTTGAATGTTTAATTTGTTATTGCTATACTATGATCCTATTGAAATTTCAATGTTTATTTGAATTTTTTCGCAAGACAGCTCAGAAGGAGAGTAACTAACGAGATATGGCCTTGTTCGTTAACTATACAACCAAAAAGACTAATGACTACTTCAAACTCGGCTATAAGTACTTTTAAGTAGAAATATATGACAAATAATTATAAAAAGGTTGTTAACATAGGCACTTTGAAGCCTAAATGTGGAATGCACATGTCTTCCTTAGC